GAAAGATGTTGTTCACCGTAGGTGGAGCTGGTTCAAGAAAATGATGCAATTTTGCAAATTGAACACCTCGCTCCCACTGAGTCAATTCCAAGGCTTAGAAATGATGCCACTTGTCCAACTGGTGCCTACAATCAACTTGAGAGGGAGAACTACGATGGCCCAAAGGTCCAAAAGAGGAAGGAATTTCTCTCTCAGACTATTTCTCTCCCAATGCATTATTATTATTATTATCATTATCATTATTATTATTACATTAACTTTCTGTCTGGTTCAGAGTAAATATTCAACAAATATTTGAGTATGTGAATATTTGTTGTTCTACAGAAAGCTGGGGATAGGGACTGATGGCCTAGTGTTAAAGTCAGCTTGCCCAGAGTCCGTGTGGCTCTCTCTCTTTCCCTTTTTCTCTTCCTAATCTTCCTTCATTGTTTTTAGTTTTTGTTTTTTGGGCTTTTTCTAAAGATTGAACCCAAGGCTTTTGCACTGAGCTACATCCCTACATCTTTTCACTTTTTATTTTGAAATAAGAGTCATGGTAAGTTACTTAGGCTGGATTTGAATTTGTAATCCTCCTGCCTCAGCCTCCCAGAATGCTGGGATTACAGGTATATGCTACCATACCTAGCTTGCCATATCCTCATTTTTGCCACAAATATTTCTTCTTTCTTTTCTTTTTTTTTCTTTCTTTCTTTTTTTTTTTTTTTTTTTGAGACAGAGTCGCTCTGCATAGTTCAGGCTGGCCTTGAACTCATCACATAGTCTAGACTGCCCTGAAACTCACAGTCATCCTCCTGCCTCAGCCTCCTGAGTACTGAGATTACAGATTATACCACCTCAACCGACTTTGCCAAAAACATTTCTAAAACTAGAATTAATCATGTGGAATAGACTGGAGTCAGATCTGTCACACTGAAAAACTGACTTTCAATATAGATAGATGACCCTAGAAACACAGACATAAATGTGTGTATAAAACCATGCACCAAGCAAGCACAGTGGTGCACACCTGTAATCCCTGCACTTGGGAGGCCGAGGCAGGAGGATCGCTGGGAGTTGAAGGACAGCCTGAACTACATAGTGAGTCCCTGTCTCAACTCCCCCCCCCCAAAAGAAACAAACAAAAATCCCCAAAAAACTGCACCCTCAGAGGATGGAGCAGTCGCATCCCAATAGATAAACACTTCCAGACCTGAGTTCCGAAACCACACGCCACTGAAAGAAACCAGGCATCTTTGGAGAAACGGCCAATTTTGGGACTAGGGAGGGAACGTGCGAGACAATCCTGGGTTATCCTGTGCCAGGCAGTAAAAAATACTTCTAGAGGGATGAGGATGTGCTGGCCAAACAGGGAAGCCAGTTTATAGGGCTGTCATGCACTTGTCTGGGACAATTCATACTCACACCATTACAGCCATAGATGGTGACCTGTGAAATCACAAGTCTACGCGGATGTTAACCAATGAATATGAAGGTTCCTACAGGGTGGCATGTATGCCTCCTCCCACAGCACCTCCCTTTAGGATACTGATTAATTTCACAAAGGTAGCCAGCAGCTTTACACGGGGAAGCCAGGGTGAGGACACATCATTCCAGTGAGCTAAGGTAAGAGCCTCAACAACAGAGCAACTGAAGCCATGCGTCCTGGCTGGGACACAGTAAGGACACACACGGCTTCCGTGCTATTTAGTGATGTGCAGAATCCAGCCTGTGTGTAACCCAAGGCGTACAGCCTGAATCTAGTTGTGAGGAAATGCCAGACCCATCCAAATTAAAGGATACTCTACAAAGCAACTGTCCTGTCCTCTTCAAAAGCATCAAGATCAGCTGGGTGTGGTGGGCTCACTTTGGTAATCCCAGCGCTCTGGGAAGCTGAGGCAGAAGAATCACAAGTTCAAGCTTAGCTTAGGCACCGAGGTGACTTCAGTGAGATGGTGTCCCAAAATGAAAATGAAGGGCTGAGAACGTAGTTTGGTGTGAAGTCTCTGGGTTTAGACCTCACTGTCACAAACAAACAAACAAATAACAACAAATTGTACCAAAGTCATTGGAGTCTAGGAAAGACTGAAGAATGTTCCAGACTTGAAGGATACTCAAGAGATGGGGTAACTACATGCAACATGTAATCTTTTTTTGTGTATATGTGTGTGTGTTTCCTTTTTATCGGTAACGGGGATTGAACTCACAACCGCACACTTGCAAGGAAGGCGCTTATGCCGCTGAGCTAAATCCCCAGCCCCTATTCTTCAGAGAACATTATTGGTATAAACAGCAAATCTTGGGCAGCCTGGTGGGAGTGTATCAGTGTGCATTTCCTACACTGGTGGATAAATTGATTCCGTAGATGCTTTGTTTGGAGGAAATACACATCATGGTACCCAGGGGGATCATGTACTATGTCAGGAGCTTATGCTCAAATGGCTCTAGATTTTAAAAAACTTATTCCTATGGAGCTTGTAATTCTTCCGTAAGCTTGAGATTGTGTCAAAAGAAAAGAATAAGAAATAAATATGTTATATGACTTAACATAGTTTAAAAAAATTGTTTAGTTTCCACATTTTAAAATTTCTTTAGTTTTTATAGTTTAAAAATAGACTTTTTGGGGCTGGGGTTTTAGCTCAGCGGCGTTAAGTGCCTGCTTGGCATATGCGAGGTCATGAGTTCAATCCCTGGCACAAAAAAAGAAAAAAGACTTTTTAGGGCTGAGAATTTAGCTCAGCAGCATAAGCGCCTGCTTCCCAAGTGCACAGTCATGAGTTCGATCCCCGGTACTGATAAAAAAAAAAATAGAGTTTTTTTTTTAAAACCTATGAGTCTAGGTTTCAGGCTTTTCTTTAGGAATGTGAAAAGCTAACAGCCGGGGTAAATGGGTTGGCAGGATGAAGGGCCCAAGATGAAGGACCCAATAGCATCTTTCAGATGAGTGGGCTTCAATTTCCCAAAGTCTTTCTGCTCCTTAGAACGTCATACCCAGTCTATAGGATCTACTTATGCTACCAGCCTGGTATCTGATGCCAGCCCACGCTTGTCCTTGCTATGGGCAGATGAGAACCACTCTAAAGCAGGCACTTCAAACAGGGATGATGGATGAATGGGTAGGTGGATCGATGGGTAGATGGATGAACTTTCAAAACACACCTCCAACCCAGAGCTAGGACCTGTCTTAGCACATTAACCCGTGTTTGATGTCAAGATGCCTCTTATATCAGCTGTAGTTTCTCAATAGCGTGGCTTGATGGAACAAGTTGAGAATGAGGACGTCATCCGAAGCCAGAGGTCCCTGCGTGAGCTGTGATCTCTCACCTGTGCGGTTGGGGGAGTCCTCTGAGAGGTGGATGGGGTTCTGACCCACAGTTGAGGCGCTAGGCAGGTTAGTGAGGCTCTGAGGAGGAGGAGATAGTATCTAGGTGGCCCCAGGCGGTGAGGTTGGGTGGGGTGGGAACAAGCCAAAGTTGGTGGCTTGGGATCCTACAGTAGGAGATCTGGCTTGATGGGGCATGTCGTGGTCTGGTTTTTAATGCAAGATGTAATGACAATTTTGTCTTTCCCAGGCAGGCCCTGTCTTTCCTGATTGTATCTGAGTTATGCCCTTGGTTTGAAACAAACTCTTAACTGAATCCTGAAACATTAAATTAATAAAATTTGGCACATATTTTTTCCCAGCACTGGCAGTTTCTTACTGCTTTTATCATAAAATGCAAACCCTACCATTCCCTAGCCTGCTCACCTGTCTGACCTGGTTCATACCTCATCTCTAGCCCTTGCTTACTCCCCTGGTCCCTTGGGCTCCCTGTACATACAAAGGCTTTGCCACTTTGCCTGTGCGCCTCCCTTCCTAAATCTTTGATGTATTTCCTCCTTTTTCAGATCTGGATGTCACTTCTTCAGAGGAACTGCTCCTAACCCTTATATGCCATCTCACTGAAACTCGTAGCCTTCAGTCACCCCTTGTCACTCTCCATAGCTACATTTCACTATCATCCCACTGTTTTCCTTTTTTCAGTCACAGTCGTTGGTGTCTGAAAGGTCTTATTTGCATCTTTCGTTGTATTGTGGCCCCTGGTAGAATGTCAGCTCCTCAAAGGCAGAGATTTTGCTGTATTGCTTATCCTTTTATGGTTAGCACAGCGCATGGTGCATAGTAAAGAAACAATGAATATTTATTCTGATATCAATAAGAGGCTGTGTACAACAGTATGCTGGATTTTTAGATAAACTGGGCATTGATTTTAGGACATAAGTATCTAGGGGGATTGTGGACAGATGAATGTGATTAGGTCGTGAGAAGCATGTTCTCTGGGCTGCTGGCCTGATGTTAGAGTTGGGAAATGAGCCCATCGGACAGGTGGTTAAGTTGGATGATAAACTGGGCTTGGTCCATCAGACAGGTGGTTAAATTGGATGATAAACTGGGCTTGGTCCACCAGGTAACCTCAGACCGCTGGTGTCAGACTGGACCCCAGATTTGGTGAAAGAGAAATCCAGCTGGGCAGTGGCTGAGATAGCTTGGGACCAGAGCAGTGTTCAACAGGTATGAGGTTCCTGAAAGTGAAGAATCAAGCACCTCCTCTGACTGTAGCTATGGAGAGCCATAACCCTAGTCCTGGTTGGGGTCACTAGGGGTTGTGGGAGGACGGGCCCTGTTTGGGGCCAAGCAGGACAACCCAAGGAGCGCTAGCTGGGATGGAACATAATGTGGATGCTGTGTGGGTTGTAATCGGGGACTCGGCCCGAGCCGGCCCGCCTGAGTTCGGGGCAAGCTGGAGGCGGCGGGAGTTACACCTAAGAAAAGATGCCAGTGGAGCCGCTCCCTTGGGCGGATCTAGACCCAAGAGCCGCGGGCTTCCGCATAGACCCGCCCCCTGGCCAATGGCAGCGGTGAGGCCGCCAGAAGCAGGTATGGATTGGGCGGGCTGGTGGGGCGGCGGGCGAGGATTGGGTGCATGCGGGAGGGGCGGGGCCGCGCTCCAGGCAGTTTAGGCGCTCCGCCGGCGGGCGGCGCTGAGCCCTCGGCTACGAGGGCCTGGTGCTGGCGGAAGTGGCGACGCTGGCGTCCCCGGAGCCTACGGAGGGCGGCAGTGACGGGCCGGGCGCTGACGGCAGCGACCCGGGGGGTGGCGTGGACGCCCGCGGCCCGGGCTGGGGTATCACCGCGGGCCTCGACCCCGAAATGGCGCTGCTCGCAGAACACCTGCTGAGGCCCCTGCCCGCGGACAAGCAGATCGAGACCGGGCCCTTCTTGGAGGCGGTGTCCCACCTGCCGCCCTTCTTCGGTGAGCCAGGGTGGGGGTGGGAGCTGGCCTGTTCCCTGATCATCCCCAAAACATTCCTTCCCTAGCCACCCCGAGCCCTATCCCCACGTCCCGGATCTCCTTTCCTTCCATTCACCCCAAATTCTCCCTACTCGAGACCAGCCCCAAATTCTCTCTCCTCGAAAACATCGTATTTTTTATCTCTTCCCGGACACCACTAAGTCCCCCGGATACTTCAGATTCCTCCCTGTTCCTCAGATGTACCCCAGTCCTCCACTCCTGCATGCACCCTCAGTTGCCCATATCCCTCAAACCCACTCTCGCATCTCCCCAGGCATGCTCCAATCCTCTACCCTTCCTCCTAAACACACCCTGCCCTTTTCTTCCCAAATTCTTCATGCCTCACCCCATTGGTCCTCTGTTTCCCAATGGTTCTCATCTCCTCAAGGGAAGGGCTTTTAAAATGAATGAACCCTCCCTTCCCTCTTCCAGCCCCTCCCTCACGAGACCTGTGAACATTTTTCTCAGCATTTCCACATTCTGGAGCACAGACCCACACCACCTCCTCCCTGGGTAGGGTGGGGGTTTTGAAGATGGAGTTGTGAAAGTTTAGGGCCTTTTTCTAGGGGAAGTCACCTAAAATTTTTGCACCGTGTAGGACAGGGGTCAGGGTGAGGGGAGCTGTTCTGTGGAATGATGCTATACTTGGCACAAGCCTCTTCCTCATTTTGAGCATTTGAGCTTAGGTTGAAGAGGTCATGGGAGCCCTGGGAAGGTGGACCCTAAGCCAGTTTCAAACTTCTTGCCCTCCCGTCCCATCCCCCAGCCAAGGCCAGGGCAAGGATGGAAAATGGGAAACAGAAGCCAATGCTCTCTGTCCTTGCCCCCTGCCTTTTCCTACAGTAAAGAATGCAACCTGAGCCTCTGCTTTCTTCTTGTCTATGGGACTCTCACTGTCTTACCTGTTCACTTGGTGGCCCTGCAGGGAGATACCAGCCTTCGGGGCAGAATCCTGCTGAAGCCCACAAACAGGCAGAACCTGAGATTGGCTTGGACTGCAAAGATTTGGGACCAAGGGCCAAGCCTCTTGCTGTGGCCCCAGTGGGTGACCAGGATTGTTGAGGGCAGCAGGTCCCTCAACAGCAGGGGTTGGTCTGTGGCCAGACCAAGTAATATCCTAATTTTTCTTCTCTGCTTTGTGGATCTCAGTGTCCCCATCTATGAAATGAGAATGCTGATCTTGTTAGCCAGGGGGGGAGTAAAGGAGGGGGTGTGTGTGTGTGTGTGTAAAGCATGGGCTCGTAAGGGCCAACTCCATGTTAGCTGGGCTCCTGGGAGGGGTTTTATATCTGTAAGTTCCTGGAGGCAGTTTTGTTTCCTTCCCACAATAGATGATTAATCAGTGCTAGGTAAGTGCACTTCCCTGGTTTGCATGTCTCAGACTTGGGTCAGCAACCTGAGAGCAAGTCTCTGTCATTTATATCCACTTCTATGTCCCGAGTGCCCAGGGTGGTGTCCGGGACATAGCAGGTGCTCAGTCAGTACTGTCCAATGTACAAAACTTGCTTAGTATGAAAGCTTGAGGTAATACTGCATCTGCAGGTGGGGTCAGAGAAGTATCTTGCTTTAGCATGGCTGTGTTGTTTTTGTAACTAGGTTGTGTTATTTGTTTGCTTTTTTCCTTCTTTGGGATTATGAGTGTTTGCCAGTCAGAGCCAGCTTGCCCTGGACAGGGATTCAGAGTCAATGTCTAAGTCAGTGGGTCTCAACTGAGGGAAATTTTGTCCCTTAGGGGTCATCTGGCAATGTTTGAGGACAATTCTGTGTGTCAATACAGTGGGGACTATTGGATGCTCCAGGGGGGTTGTTAAACATCCCACAATGCACAGTGCAGTGTCCCCATCACAGAGAATGACCTGGTCCCGAGTGTCAGCCGTGCTGAGGTGGAGCATCCCAGGTTGGGCTCTGTGTCCTTTTCTTCCCTTACCTTCAGCAGAGGCTCGTGGCAGTTTGGCGCTGTGTGGCACACCGTGGCTGGATGCAATGGTCTAGGAGGTGTGGGAGGACAGGGAGAGGTGACAGCTGGAGCCTGGGAAGAAGAGCATCTCTGCCTCCCTTTGCTTGGTATCTGAGGACCCTTGTTTCTGCTCTGGTCCTGTGCGGTGAGTGGCACAGCTGTGGACAGACGCGCCATTGAGACAGAAGTGGAGCTGGCTCATAAAGGGTTCATCACCCCGGGCCACTCTGTTGCCCAGAAGAGGGGAATTCTTAGCACCCCTAAAAAGAGAAAGTAATAAAAAAAAAAAAAAAAAAACCAACCAGGAAACAAAAGCTGAAAGGGATAATACACTTCCAATGCGTCTGTTCTTCCAGAAACACACCTTTTCCTGAAGGTTTAAGATGCCCGAGTTTGAGGAAGACACACCTACCCTGGGTTTTCTCCGGGACGCTGTGGTGGGTTGGTGTTTGCTGTCAGCTCCATTGCTGGGCAGATTTAGGGGTGTCCATCTGGTTGTGTGGATAATGTGGGTGAGGTGTGTGTCTCTCCAGTGGAGCTGGTCAGGAGCGATGAACCCAAGGAGTCAGAGAGGCATTGTGGTGACAGTTTCTTCCAGGTCAGGGTTTTTCTACAGTGACATTGGTGACTTTGGGGGCCAGATCATTCCTGAAGGACTGTCCGGTGCTTTGTAAGGTGCTGAGTAGCATCCCCTGTCCTAAAGTTGTGACAACTAGGACTGTCTCACCCCTCACTGAGCTATTGCTTCAGAAATACAGGTACAGCAGAAGACTGAAAGCTGTGTTTTAAAGAGGTATTTAATTCTGCCAGGAATGTCTATTCATTGAAGGAAAACTGAGCAAAAACTAATAATGTCTGCTGTTTACTGTGCACTTACTATGTGCTACTCTCCGTAATTAGTTCATTCGTCCTCCACATCCTTTGGATGTAAGGTTTTTAAGGAAAGACTGCTGAATTTCAGAGCCACGGATGTGACTGTATCTTTGAAAAAAAATACATGACCTACTTTATGTAGCAATACAGCATGACTGTCTTTCCATGTCAGTCATCATTTGTCACAGCTGCTTAGCAGTGCATTGTTCGAATGCAGTCATAACTTATTTAAACCATCCCCTACTGCTGGACACTCAGCTTCTTATTTTTCACTCTGGTAAACAGTGCTGTGCCAAACATCTCTATGCATGTTTCTTTGCACGGTTCTCTTGTATTTCTCATTTTTAGAAGTGAGATCAGACAGGGACCGGGGTGTGATGGCTTTTAACCTGTTGGAGCAGCCACATTTCTTTAGCCTTGCGGGGTGTGGTTTGTGACAGAGTCGGTTGGGCTTGACAAACGCTGATTCTCTGGGCTTCACTGGGTGTGGGCTGCCAAGCAGCCTCCTGCTCATCTGGTTTAGGAGTCTTCTCAGGCTTGCCCTTTCTCCACACCTCTAGCCTGAGTCCCTCAAGTTGTACAGGTTTTACTGCATCACTTAGAGACCAACCCTCTATCCATCTTTTTAGTCTACTTTGCCCCAGTAATTGGATCTTACCCGATTGGTCAGTTTGCAAGACTTCTGTGAAGTCTGCTTTCTCATGTTTTTTTTAAGGTCAATTATGCAGCAGTCCTGGAGCTTTAACCGTTGGTGAGCAGAGACAGGGAGCCTTAGATGTCCCTTAGTCCTGTCACTCCCTGCCTAGAAGCCTCAGTGGCTCTCTGTTACCGTAGCCTGAAGTCTGTGCTATTGGCTTTTGGAACGGCTCCCAACCCCACAAATAGCACAAGTGCCATAGTCTTTTTGCCTGGTGGATCACTCTGTGTACAGCCCACCCCTTCCATTTGTCTGGCTGGGTTCACACATCCGTTAGGGATTAACTGATCAGTCACCTCACCCAGAAAGTCATTCCTGAATCCCTGAGAGCCTGTCCCATTCTGTGACTGAGTTATTTCAGGACCTTGAACTTGGTGAGCTAGAATATTTGCTGAATGCTTTTGGTTCCTTTCTGTTCTTCTAGGTTCTTGCTGAAAATGCTTTGCCTTTCTCTCTTTCCAAATTAAAATAGATGATTTAATTAAAGTACATGACTAAGTTGAAATATATAACCCCTTTCCTATCCTGTACTCAGCAGACATTATTAACCAGTCATGATACTCTTTTCCCTTTCGAGGCTACAGACAACCTTGGAGTCTTTTCTTCTTTTCATTCTGTCTTTTTTTCCTTCTTTCTTTCTATTTTTGTGTGTGTGTGTTAGTGGGGATTGAACTGAAGAATTACAGTATTGGCTCTCCATGCCCAGCCACCCCATCTTTGCACAGGAAAGACATACAGCCACAGGACATTGCACTGAGCTACATCCCCAGACCTCTTTTATTTTTTATGTTCAGATAGGGTCTTGTTAAGTTGCCCAGGCTGGGCTCATGCCTGTAATCTCTGCACTTGGGAAGCTGAAGCAGGAAGGCAACTGTGAGTTCAAGGCCAGTGTGAAGTACATAGCAAGATCCTGTCTCAAGAACAAAAACTTGCGATCTTCCTGCCTCAGCCTCCCAGAATGCTGGGAGTAGAGATGTGCACCATCTTGCCTGGCAGCCTTGACATCTTTCTTAACACAACCATTCCAGGTCAATTAGAGTTGGTACGTGAGACGGAATCTGTTCTCTATCATTCTTTAGAAAGAAACCAGAGATAGAGGAGCTAAAGGTAATGATTTCTTGAGATCGACATTCTGGGAATGATTTTTCTTCATTCAGGCTGCTTAGCACGGTTAAAAGGATGTCAGTAGAATCTGGCCTCACAGGTGCCTGGTACTCATTACACAGGCCTACAGTGAGCCCAGGAAGAGTTTTTCCAACACTTTTGATTCATTGCTTGTTTCATTTTTTGGTAATATAGAAGTGTAAGCTTATCTTCCTGTTTTATAGCCTCCCCCACCTCCCGCAAAGAAACAAAAATGGAGGCCAGACACATTAGGTGACTTGTGAGAGTCACACAGCCAGTGAGCAGCCTCTAGTTCTAGGCAAGCTAGAA